GCTCATTAAAATTATTTTTTAAAAATTTATTGTTATTTTAACAAAAGGTGACAGAAAACTTGGATGTCCATTCATTCATTGTTGCGCATTTTTTCCCTCGCCTCCCCCAACACCAGGTCGCTTTTCTCTTGAAAAAGATTCTTTCATTGTTGCACAACTTACTCCCACCTCCCAGTCCACTTAACTATATACCTCTTATTCTGAACTGTTGTCATGCAAAGAATACCTAATCATATATTCCTTTTAAGTAATTCTTTCCTCCATCTGTTTTAATACAGTGTTGATTATTGATCCCCTTTTCTTCCTTCCCCGCCATGCCAGTCCTATTTTATAACTGTGAGAAATACCTGCTCTTGCTTGCTTCCCACTACCCCCACTACCTTGGGAAGCAGAACGTTGGCAAACACGCAGTTCGCACACTGCACAGAGGGCAGCTGGGGGCTGAGACCCAGTTTACTTGGTTCCCCAAGTCCTCATGTGCGCCCTCCCATGAGATTGCAGCTGCTCAGTGAAAGGTCTTTTTCTCTGCAGAAGTGTGTGTCACCCATACATCAAATACTGTATCCAAAGAGCAGGAGTCTTTCTCCACCTGGCATAGAAGTACAGTGTGGGCTGGCAGGAGGCTCGTTGGATAATAAAGCCCCGGCCATGGTACGTGCAGCGGGAGAAGAGCATTCATCTGGAGAATGTTCATCCTTTCCCCTACAAGCTAAGGCAACACTCATCTGCCTCCTTCCATACGCATTAGGTTCTAAAGGGTGTATTTATGGACTCCATCCTCCTTCTTCTGAGAGGCTGGAATAAAGGAGCTAGATATTAAATCCAATGGGTCTTTGGTCTTCCAGTGGCTCCATAGGTGATGGGGGGTGGCTGCTCTGCTACTTTTAATGTTACTGTTGTTTTGCTGGTCCTTCTTCTACTTATTCATGTTTTCCATTTCTGAACTAGGAAAGTTTTCTTAGGGCTGCATGCTACTTCCCACCTTAGCATATATGATATAAATTTAGTCTCTAATCTCACATCCCATTGATTCGTAAACTCTTAATACCATTTCTTTAATACACAGTGCACATGAAGAACACACAGCATGTCTTTGAATCTCCTCTTGAGAGTTGCAGTGAAATGTTAAATGCACTCAGGTGTTCAATAAATGTTATTTGTGTCTATAACGCACTGTATCCTAATGACATACTGAAGAGGACATCAAGATGATCCCATACTGATTTTTCAACGTCAAAAATATGACTCTCAGACTTAAATAAAATGGCCGGAAATTGGGAAACCACCATGCTTGTAAAATGATGCTCTGGGAATGTAGTGGGATTTGCTGTTCAGTCAGGAGTTTCCAACACATGTTGCTCATGCAGTAAACTCACACAATTAATTTACCACTGTGATAAAGGCCGATTTCATTAAAACGGACAAATTCATGCCTCAACGGATGTGCTAATATTTTTAGTCAGTCTCTAGCGCAGCTGTTGAAACATTTTGGCTCTGCAAGGTATAGCAAAATGGGAATTCTAAAATTCATTAGATCTGAGTTTTAATTACGAAAACAAAGATCCTAATCACTAGGCCAACAGGCAGTACTTGATCGATGCAGGGAAGGTTGAGGTTGTTAACAATTTCATCTTGCTCAGATCCACAATCAACACTCTTGGCATCAGAAAGTCAGGAAATCAAGACAAGTTGCTTTGGTTAAATCTGCTGTCAGAAACCTCTCCAGAGTGCTTAAAAATAACAATGCAAGTCTACAGACCAAGGTGAATTTGTTCCAGGCCAGGGTCTTCTCAATTGCTTGCTGCTCTGTGTCTAAGATCTAGACAATGAATAAGGATAACAGAAGAACTGATGCCTTTGAGTTGTACTAATGGAGAAGCCTATTGAGCATATCATGGATGGCCAAGAGAACAAACAGGTTTGTCCTGAAGAAGGTAAAACCAAGTTGCTCCTTGGAGGCAAGGATTTCGAAAATCTGTCTCACATACTTTGGACATGTGGCCAGAAAGGACCAGTCTTTGAAAAAGGTCATCATGTGTGGAAGGGTGGGGGAAGACCTGAGATGAGATAGAGTGACACAGTGACTGGCAACAGGATCAGGTGTGTCAGAGTGGAGAAGGTGACTCAGGATAGTGCAAGGTTCACAAGCATTGTTCGCAGGGTCTCTCTGAGTCACAGAACACTCAACAGAACATAATTGTAACAATTGTTTTTTAAAAAAATTGTCTCCCATTTCAGAACTTTCTCCATATCTATTTGTCTACTGAGCAAATCATTCACAAAGATGGACTTTGTGAAAAAGAATGTGGCATCAGGATTTGAGGAAGACTTATGAACAATCTGCAATAGGCAGATGACACAACCTTGCTTGCTCAAAGTGAGGAGGACATTAAACACTTACTACAGAGGATATCTTAATATCAAGATATCAAAAATCCTCACCACTGGACCAACAGTCAACATCATGATGAATGGGAAAAAAAACTGAAGTTGCTAATGATTTCCTCTTACTTGGATCCACAATCAGCATCCTTGATACCAGAAGTCAGGAGATCAGGAGATGTACTGCACTGGGTAAGTGTGCTGTCAGGGACCTCTCCAAATTAGAGGAGCAATGATGTCAGTTTGAAGACTAAGGTGTGCCTGATTTAGGTCATGGTCTTTTCAACCAATTGCTCTGCATGTGAGAGATGGAAAACGAATGATTACAACAGAAGAAGAATTGATGACTTTGAGTTGTGGTATTGGAGAAGAGAATGGAATATCGTAAGGACTGTCAAAAACTAAACAAGGATATGCTGGAAACAGTGCAGCCACAGTGCTCCTTGGAGACTAGGTTGAAGAAACTTCATCTCACATATTTTGAGCATGTTGCAAGAAGAAGCTACTCTTTGGAGAGGAGCATCATGCTTGGAAAGGTAGGAGGTCAGCAAAGAGAGGAAGACCCTCAACCAGGTGGACTGACACAGTGACTGCAGCAATGGACTCAAGTGTGTCAGAGGGATGAGGATGGTGCAGGATAGGCCAGGGTTCAGAACTGATGTTCACAGGGTCACTGTGAGTCATACTTGACTCGACATCACTTACCAATAACAACTGTTGTCATGTGCTATTGAGTTGGAACCTACTCATAGGTGATCCTCCAGTGGTTCTCAGAGGCTGTAAATCTCTGTCTCGGGGAGAAGCTGGTGGACTCGAGCCACATGCCTTTTGGTTGGCAGTACAGCTCGTTACCACTAGGCCACCTGAGTTCCTTTTTCTAAACAGAAGGCAAATACTGGTTTTTGTAGAGGTGAACATTAAGATTTACTGATCCAAGTATGTCTTTTAGAACAATGAATTTTGAATTTCATCAAGATATATTGTTGTACGTATGTCACAGATTCTGAATTTCAGAATTTTGCATAAAAGCAGGAAGCTTAAAATCAATCAGGAAACATGCTGAAAATGATGTCTAATTTCAACCAAGAAAGCGGCAGATTTTTGGCAACTTTGTTGAGCTAATCAGAATTTTTTCTTTTAAATGCTTAAAAATAGAATATACTTTCCTCCAAATTTCAGCAAAACATTAATTATGTCAGGGATCTGTATTTGTTTTAAATTTCTATTTTTCCAGCTATGAAGCGTCGGTCCTCAATCCTCTCCCTTGGAGCTTCATGTCTAAGTGTTAGCATCTAGTTTGATCACTAAGGACCAATTTTCAAAAACTCTCAATAGAATAAATGAGCTTCATTTTCTTGTCATATCCTCCCTCTTAAGATGTTCTAGAAGGCCAGCTTATATCTTGTTCTTCTCAAATTTTTCCCAAATGAATATACAACATCACTCATAACATCTAGGCGATGTGTCTCAAAGTTATGAGAAATGTGATCAACTCGCCAGCATTTTCCACTTACTCACACATCCATGAACTCATTCTGACTCATTAATAAGGGCACTTGTCATTTGCCTTCCAAGACTCTACAAACAGATCCTACTTTTAGGTGACAAGTCTTCTGACTTTTCAAGTGAATTTCCATCGTAACACTGGTCTTAAAAAAGACTCACCATGGGCCAGAGCTCAACCCAATGAGCAGAGTGGTAATGTTTAAGAATGACATAAATGTATGAAACGCAAGTGTTTAATCTACTCTTTATTTTTATTTAGGTTTATGTAAGTGAATTTGGTGTTGAAACAATGGAAGATACCACAGATGCTCTTCTATTCCAACTCCAAATCAATTAAATGAAATTATTCAAGTGTAGCAAAGCCAATATTGTAAACCTAGTAATATGATTGCAACTAACAACAATGACCAGACATTCATTAACTCAGAGATAAAATGTAATGATTTTTAATTCTGTGTTTACTAGTACAAACTAAGTTAATAGTCTTGTAATTTGCCTCTATTATAAAATATTGCTGAACAATTCTTCACATTATCTAATTTAGCAAAACTCAAGAAACGTTTGATAGGGTACAGATTTATTACACTGTGTTTTATCCAATCTTTATAGTTAGCACAAACACAAAACTATAGTCACTTTAACAAGGTACAAATTGAACAACAGTTCTGTGCACTAAAATACCATAATGCCGTTACCGAGAGCCAAAGTATTAGCTGGCTGACTTTGTTTTAGGGACTTTGATTACAACCATGCCACCAAAAAAATGTTCCTTGTTCGTTCAATATCTCTTGATTCTCAGTATGCATTACTAGTTGGCAAATTAATTTTTAAATGCACTAACGTGGGAATTCAGTCCAAAGAGTAAAGCTTCATATTTGTGAGCAATCTGACCATGAAACATAGATGCGATGCATAAACTATTTCTACTCTTCAGGGAAGACTGTAATTCTTGTTGGCATAATCATGAAAACTTTTTTCTTGATTCAAATAACTTCTTACCATTAGTTTGGTTATAGCGTGCACGAGAAGTAATAACTCTGCCATGAGGATGGTAACTACATTAAGGGCTGCTTTAACTATCTAGCTCTGCACACCGCTAGATAATGCGTTTTCTTCTTCACTAGCTAACCAGACATGGGTCATCACAGCTGGGCTTGACTTCTCCTTCCAGCAGCAAATTTATCACAACCTTTGTCAAATAGCTGCATGTTCCTCTTTTTCCCAGTGGGGGGGTGTTATAGAACGAAGTCATATCATCCTATAAAGGAAAAAAAAATCACGTTGTTTGACTTTTGTCTGTAAAGGTAACAAGGTAAGCACAGCACAGAGCGAAAAACAAATTCACAGAAAGAATTCTGTGAGGAAAGTATGGGCTTCCTGAGTTTCCCTTAATTTTCCAGACATTTTTAGTATTCTCTTTACTGATCATTTTTATTCACTTAGAGAACCTTTTTACAGATAAGCATAAAAAAGAAAAATCTGGAAGGAAATCCATCAGGCAGTGCACAGCACCAATTTAGGCTGTTACTGCATTTCCATTCTGCCCAGAATTTAATTTTGTAGCCTTCTGGAATCTACATCTCCTCCCTCATAAAATATATTTTAAATGCAAAGTATATAAGGGAAATTTTCCTCTTCCTAGATTTCTTTTCAGCTAGAATTTTATATTTTAATTAGTAGTTAACTTTTGATAAATGTCAATAGTTGTAGAGGGCCTTCAGGCCTTTTGTTCATAGGGTCACTGCATTGTACTGGACTGGAAGGCAAATAAAAACAACAGTAGTTAACTAAAGGAACATTAATACTTCGGATAATTCAGATTTCCCCTCATCTTCATGTGTTCTGTTTTACACTCTGTAAATATGTCTAAGTGAAAGGGGGCAAGTTACTTTTTTCTACTTACTTGTTTTTCAACTTCTTTTAGCCGACTCTCATCTTTTTGAAATTCATGAAATGCTTCTTTTACCAGTTTGTCTAGATCTACCTTGTCCTGAAATTCTAGCTCAGGGTTTCTTTCCAGTACAATGGAGAGAACCATTAATAACTAGAAGAGACAGAAATTGAAAGTCAATTGGCTTTTGTATGAAATAGGAAAACAATAAAGTCTGGATATAGTTTCATTTCTTAATATTAATGGGTGGTCAAGCTTTGCAGTGTGTTCTATAGAATAGGCTCACCTCTAGAATCTTTTCTTTTTACAAATCATCAGAATAAATTCTGTTGAGAAATGACACAACTTCTCCCCCTTTAAAAATTGCACGAACCCCTATAGCTATAGAGAAACGATGGAAAGAGAAACTATGGTACATTCACACAAGGAAGTACAACGAAACTGAAAAACAGCAAAGAATTTGTGGAACACAACAAAATATGGATAAATCTAGAGGGCATTATGCTGAAGGAAGTAAGTCATTCACAAAAAGACATACTGTCTAAGATGACTATTATAAAAAGATAAGTTTATACATAGAATTTGGTTAACGAGAGAGGACACAAGGGGGGAAAGAAAAGAAATTAGTAGATAATAAGGTGTTGTTGTTATGGATAGAAAATATAGACTGAATGGACAAACAATGTAGGCATTGTAATTAATGCCATGCAATAAAATGTGCATGAATAATTGAAAAAAGAATGTTGGTAAACTGCTACTCAATCACAATTTAATAAAAAAAAAACACAACACACCACCTTTTAGTAATTTTAAGTAAAATTCACAAAAGAAAACTTTAATAACAAAACTATTAAGTCAGAAAAATGGCTTGTACATAGTTGAAAGTGCCCTACCCAATCAGCATCTAAAATCTTTTTAGGCCTTTGGGCCTCGATCTTTTTTTTGTGAAGAAACAGTACTCACAAAAGGGCAAATATTGCATAATGCCACTGTTATAAAACAGGACTGACACGGGGGTTGGGGGGCAACTAAGAAAAGAGGGGATAAATAATGTGCACTACATTGAAACAGATGAGAGACAGAACTGCTTAAAAGGAATATATGATTAGTTATTACTTGCATGACAACAGTCCAGAATGAGAGCTGCATAGTAAAGTAGTCTGGGGGAGTGGAGGGGAACTGTACAACAATGAAAGAAATTTTTTTAAAAGAGAAAAGTGAACTGGGGTGGGGGTGGGCAGGGAGGAAAATGTGCAACAGTGAATGAATGGAAATCCAAGTTCTGTATAAACTTTGATTAAAATCTCTATTCAATAGGAAACCAATACTCAAATAATGCCTGGTGTAATAAGGGCCCCATCACTAATGAAGGACAGAAAACAAAAGCAGAGATGGTGAGTTCAACGGTGATTTTAGAACTGGGTTCAAGGAACACATAAAAAGTACTTATTCAACAATTCACATTACTTAATACAAACCTCCACAATGATCTGTCTGTACTGAGGCTGGTCAATATTTCCCAGTATCTCTTCGACAAGAAGAGAGAAATTCATTTCATACATGGTCATATCGGACAAGGTTGGTTGCTAAGAAAAAAAAAGGAAAAGCAGCATTAACACACTGCACTGTGATACTCATTTAGGAGAAAAAGCTTAAAAATCCAATCATCTTTTCCAGCTTCTATAAAACCTCCCAGAGAGTCTTTTCAGAATCACAACTAAGTTTTATATATGTCAAAACTACTGAAGTCAACCGGCTGAGGACTGTGATAAATTAAACCTTCAGGTTTTAGTAGTTATCTTTATTATATTAATGTTTTTAGAAGAAAGGGCGTATATTAGGAAGTCATTTCAATACATAAATGGGAAAGTGAGGGAGTGGGACAACAAAGAGAGTGCGTAACAGTTTCAGAATTAACACAGGAAATCAGGCTTGCTGTCAGACTGCAGCCTGTAAGTTACTTGTTATTGAATTTACATCATTTCTGTGGCAGGTCATTTCTGAGATGGCAAAAAAGAATATTACATGCAGAAATGGCAAACAGAAAAAAAAAGCAAATTTTCTTTTACACTTTATATTTTTCATAAAAATAAGAGTACTGTACTGTCTTCCATTAATTTTTTAAAAAACCAAATGAAAACAAAATATACTCAAATCCCAATCCATAGTCATGTATGGTGGATGTGAAATCATGAAAGATTTCTTCCTCTTTTCCTTCTGTAGCCCTGTTAATCCCACTGCTAAGCACCTAAAAAAGAGGAATTTGTTTTGCAAAGAGACTTTATTTTCTTAAAATTGGGTACTAGCTCGAAGCATTAACAATGGATGGATTGTTTTGAATGTACAGTAGACTAACCAGCTTGTTGCTGTAACCTTATTGAGAAGGTACATTTAGGCTGGTAGAAAGGAGATGGATTCACCAGAATTATGACCAGGGTTGCTTTTACCTTGATGATTTTGAATGAACTTAACTACAGCTTTACAATAACTATTCAAACATGAGACCCAGCGCGGAAATGTTCCTTCTCAGTCAAGTGACGGCAATGTTGTTTGGCATTACTGTACATTCAAAACAGTCCGTCCATTGTTAATGCTTACAACTAGTACCCAGTTTAAAAAAAAATAAATAAAGCCTGGTTGCAAACAAATTTCTTTTTTTTTTAGATGCTTAGCAGTAGAATTAACAGGGCTACAGAATGAAAACAGAAAGGTGTGTTTCATGATTTCACATCCATTTTCTTTAATGTATCTTATTTGAAAAGTCAACACAGGCATGTGACTAGGATAATGTGAATGAAGAATACTGTGAAACACAATGTGTATGAACTTTGTAAGCAAACCAATATAACAGAAAAATGGGAAAAAATTGTCTACTGTTGTTACATGCAGCATTAGTATCTCCACACTGAATTCCAGCCTTCCATATGGGAGGCCTGGGTTAGACTTCAGGCCAACATATCTCCTGTTCACCTGTCGGGTTTCAGCAAGGCTCCCAGAACTACGATGAGCTAGGGAGAAAGGCCTGGTGATCTACTTCTGAAAATTACCCTATAGATCACAACAGGCTGATCATGAGGAAGGTGTTTTGTTCCACTGTGCACTGGATCACCATGCACGAGGAGCTGACTCTCCCACTAACAATGTGTACTAAGCATATGGAATGTAAGTGGCTCAGGAAAAGCGGCTGATCAAGCTGTAGGAAGTATTAGTGGAGGCTGAGATGGAAGCCAATGAGAGATGCCACAGTCCACTGCCCGGATGTACAGAAAGGAGTCGAGTAGAAAAATGCAGGATGCTAACAATGAAGGCCTGCTCTCTGCTCACAGCATGCAGTGCTGTAGGACCTAGACTGGCAACCACGGCGACCGACTCCGAATCCATGAATAGTTAGAGAACACTTTTTAACATCCACCTAGTTTAAAATGTGGAAGGCAAAAGTATCATTGGTTTTTGCAAGGTGTCCCCGCCCACCCTCAGCAACACAGTTTTTATTCATGAAAGTAAAAGAATTGCGACTAATTTCTTGTGTGTCTTCCTAGAGATTTTCTATGTGTAATAAGTGAAATGAGTGTGCATTAGGATATTTAAGATTTTATTTGCATAAAGAGCTTCATTAAAATTAATTTGGTTGAGATTTCAACACTAGAAGCAAATACAGTACTTCGTTTCCAAAAGGCTAATTGCTCACATTTTAGTGTAAGGAGAACGAACTGGATGATTTGAATAAAATAATAAAATCAGAGAAGCAGGCTAGTTTATATAATTGAAGAAGCCATTTCAGAGAGGAGTACAGGTAAGTTAAAGCAAAGTACGTGATTGTCAAGTTGTCTAACGCTGGGCAGAGTTCCTGCGTTTCTCACCCGTGCATGCGATTCCTGAGACGTACTCGGCTCATCCATAGCCCACTGGGCCACCCCGCTTCCAGTGCTGATCTGTGTCTGTTGTTTGAACACATGCTTTTTGGTTTGTGAGGTCACCTAGCACTGGGCTATTGCTTTCTAAAAAAATTTATTGGGTTGCATCCAATCACTGACATATATCATGTTTTCTATATGTACTTTGTGTTTTGTAAAATCATTTATATATATTATCCTTTCTACGATTAAGTACCATCAGCTTTTTGCCTATTATTGCCCTGTCCTGAGAAATTTAAAGTTGTTCAAAGGACAGCCCCACATAAAGTAAAGCCAATGTATGTTGTGGTTGTTGCTAAGTGCCTTTGAGTCGACCACAACTCACAGTGACCCTGTGAACAAAAGATCTGAACCCTGTTGTATAACTATCGTCACTTCTCTAAGTTCAGAGAGTTTCCAGAGAGGCATGTTGCTTAGGAAGTGGGTGCCACTCCTGCTTCCAAGCCTGTCCTAATCTAGGAGCTCCAACAAAACTATGCACAATGGGTAACCATCATGGCATTTGACACACCAGTGGCACAGCATTCAGCATCACAGCAACCCCAAGTTACCTCAGTACACTGAATGTATGAAACAATAAATTTACTGGCAAGAAAATAGAGGGAGGTCAGCTGGCTGGGAAAAAGGCTTGGCCATGTGGTTCCTTTAAGCAGAGAGTTAAAACACAGACATATGCTAACACATACACAAACATTCATTACATTCAACTTCTCAACAACATATCCATTTGGCAAAGCTAGCTCTTTTATATAAAGGAACACCAAAATTCAAAATAAAACTGAGCAGGATAGGGAGGAAGGGGAAAGTTTTCACTTCAGGTGAGAATACTTTTAAATTCCTAGTAGTTCCTCCTTTCAGGTATCTGGAAAGCAGCCTTTTAAATGTTGTTATTATATGCTGTCGAATCGCCTATGACTCATAGCAACCCTGTGTAAAACAGTCCTAAACACTGCTCTATCCTGTGCCAATCTCACTGTCTCTGACACACCTACCCCGATTACCCCAGTCACCCAATTAATCCACCTCATAGAGGGCATTCCCCTCCTGTGCTTTCCCTCCACCCTCCCAAGCATGACGTCCCTCTGCAAGGACTGGTCCCTCCTTGCAACATGTTCAAAGTATGTCAGACGAATCTTCAGAATCTTTGCCTCCAAGGAGCAACCTGGTTTAACCCTCTCCAGGATGAAAAAAAAATTCTTTCAAATAGCCTTAAGAAAAAGAATCGGCCAAAAGAGACTCATCAAGACAGGTGGGGTGATGACTTGTTTAGGTCTCTTCAGAAAGCCCATTCACTGGCGCAAACACAGTGAGTCTCTACCTGTGGCAAATGCTTCCCAGCTACAACGATTCCGTTAGGTGTGCGCTCCAGGATCTGCCACACTCGGTCGTAGAACCCACTGGGGGTTCTGTTCAGAGATCCATCGATCTGACGCCTGTTCAGCCAACATCTGTAGATCAAAGGAAAATGCTTCAGAGTTTTAAAACAAGTGTGCTGTGGTAGAAAGCAGAGTTTTCAGTATGGATTAATTGTTCTGGTAGGGTGAGCAATAAAAGCCAAAGTCCATCAATGATGCATATCTACCACGTGTTACAGACGTTAGTAAATATTTCATAGTAAAAGCAGAGCTTGCAGGAGAGAAGCAATTCCCCGGGATTTTAAAAAATTTAACAAGCAAAATGTTATTCTCTAGTAAGTTATGTGGTTAGCTTACTATATGATCAAATTAGTGTCTAATAAGTAAAGAAGTTCCATTTAAAAACACAGGAGAAGTACATGCTAAAAGTAAATTCATGTCGTTCAGGGCCACAATATAACACAAACTCCAGAAAGGTGTGTGTATGTATAACTGAATGAGCAAATACACGAATGAATACTTAGAGAAAGCACTTTTTATATAACAGAAGTGCCTTTGTTCTAGACCATATAAAATCTGGTATGCGAGTATAGCTAAAGTAATGAAGATGAAAAATCCATTATAAATCTTATGTTATAATAATCCTTGCTGCTGCTGCTGTTAGGTGCCGTCAAGTACAGTATGACTCATAGCGACTATGAAAAAAGATCTGAACACAGAACTCTCTGGCGCCATCCTCACAATTCCTAACCCACAAGAGACCACTGCAGCAGTCACCATGTCAATCCACCTGGTTGAGGGAATTCCTCCTCTTTGCAGACCCTCCACCCTTCACAATAGCATGTCACTCTCCAAAGAGTAGCCCCTCCAAGCATTATGTCCAAAGTATGTGAGGCAAAGCCTCATCATTCTTCCCTGCAAAGGGCACTCTGACTGCACCCTCTCCCAAACATAACTTCATTCTCTCGACCATCCATGGGATGTTCCGTGCTCTTCTCCAACATCACAGCTCAAAAGTGTCAATTCTTCTGTCATCCTTATTCATTGTCCAGGTCTCAGATGCATAGCTAGTGATCGGAAAGACTATGGCCTGAATCAGATGTGTCTTAGTCCTCAAAGTGACATCAATGCTCCTCAATAATTTGGAAAGGTCCCTAACTGCAGATTTTCCCAGTGTAATGCATCCCTTATTTCCTGACTTGTACCAAGAGGGTTAGTTATGGATCCAAGCACAAGGAAGCTGTTAGAAGTTTCAATCTCTTCTCCATCCATCATGACACTGGCTATTGGTCCAGTGGTAAGAATCTGTTTTCTTAATATTGAGAAACAATCCATAATGAAGGCTGTATTACTTGATCTTAATGTTGATTCTCTATTTCCATCATTCCATAAGCCTTTATAAATTAGATTTACATTGTATAAATTATAATTACATTATTCCTTCTCTCTTATTTATTGAATTATTTATGTCCAGAAAAACACCTGGATGGGTTATAAACCTATATTATCATTTATTTTGTTGCTCAGATTATCTCAACTTTTACCATTGAGAGTGTCTTCAAGTCCTCTGCACTGCCACCATGACACGCCCTGTCACATTTAAATGCTTCCTTATTTTCTAGCATTGTTAGATGTATTGGACTCATCTATTGATTTTTCTGTCCTTTTAGCACTTATTTCATCTCCAAGAAGATCTTGTCCTTTTTGCTAGAGTAGAACTCAGTAAATAGGGGCTTGGTGGGGTCCACCAGTTGATCTGTGGGAGAAAGAAGCGCAAACTCCTCCTGTGCTATTTTACGGCCTTGTCAATCCAACAGGAGCGTTAGCTATGAATGGGTGCAGGGTCAGTGACAAAGGCTGAGGAGGGATCTTTGGCTTCTGGATCCTCTCAGTAAAGAGAGCTGAGAAATGCAAGAATATAGACCCACATAAACATAGTCATATTTATTTCTGTATCCACACATCTGAATAAAACCCATGGACTCATACTGATGTCTCCAATTTCAGTTCAGCACTTCAGAGTATATTCTAACTTGTCTTCATTCCTTGGTGCAATCACTTTCTCCAAAGTTCCATCCACAATCTGTATACTTATATGTTCAATCCTAGTATGAGTGTACATGTTCTGTGTGTCTATTGTATAATTCAGAATTTCCATTTGCTTCTTTTTTCTTTAGCGTCATAGCCAAAGCAATGCTTTCCACAAGTGCTTCTGCTAATTATGATCTCCTGTATTCCCTTCAGTGTGATTATATTACTCACTTGCCTGCTATTTTGTACGCTTGCATTCTCCTCTGGGTTCTCCTCACATCTGGATTAATTTTAATTAACATCATTTATGCTCTGGGTATACGGAAATCACTGCCTACAGCTTAAGGACCAGAGGAGAAAGCTTAGTGGCACAGAGCTTAAGGGCTCTGTTGCTCAATGAAAGGTTGGTGGTTTAAACCCAGCAGCAGGTCTGTAGGAGAAATATGTGGCAGGCCGCTTGTGAAAAGATTACAGCTCTGGAAACTTTATAATAGAGACGGTTCATCCTGCCCACTGGGGCTCTATGAACCAGCAGCATGGAATTGACAGAACTGACTCAACAGAAGAGGTCAGGTTTTAGCTCAGTAAGAGACAGAAATGATTCAAAAAGGTATATTCCTCTCCACTTCAGCTTTAGTATCACATACTTACTTTCGTTATTTACAGTTATGACCCTTCTGGAAAGCAACCAGTCTCTGTTTTTGACAAAGCTTCCACCTTGTATTTCTTCTGTGCAAGTCAGCAGATATATTTACATTTTTTATGTCCACTGCATAGTGTTTTCATTTAACAATATATCCTCAATGTTACTTCAGAGTCATTCTGAGTGACCCCTCTACTTCTTTTCTTATATTTACTCCATAGTTTATTCAAACAATCTCCTATAAAAAAGGACATTTAGGCTGTTCTCAATGCTTTGCAATTATAAATAATGACGTAATAAAGAATCTTTATTTTATATACATAATATGTAGGTGTGGCGAGTCAGCTCTGAGTCAGTTCTGACTCAATGGCAATGCGAGAGAATGATGCAGAAGAGAGCTCTAGAGGCCTAGTCTCAGGGAACTGCACTGCTGACCGAAAGATGGCATCCATCTGCTGACGCAAATCCAGCAGGAGCTTTATGGAAAATATGTGCAATCTCCTTATAGGTGGCTTAGAGCCTCTGAAAACACACTCAACTATAAATTGGTTTTGATTTAACAGCAATGAATTTTTGAGAAAAAAAAAAAACCCTTCACTGAGTCAGCAGGTAACATCCTAATAGATGGAGAAAAGATTAAGGTAGTTGATCATTTTATTTTACTTAGATATACAATCAACCCGCCTGGTAGCAGCAGTCAAGAAATCAAAAAATGTGTTGTACTGGAAAAACCTGCTGTCAAGATACCTTTTGTATCCAAAGATACAAAAACAAATGATGTTTCTTTAAAGGCTGATACACTTGATCCAAGCCATGGTATTTTTCAAGTACTTCCTATGCACCTGGAAGTTGGACAAGGAGTAAGGGAGACAGGAGAAGAATCGATGCTTTTGAATTTGGTGGTGACAAACAGTAGTGACTATCTTATAGACTACCAAAAGAACAAATCAATCTGTCTTGGAGAGGGTGCAACCACAATGCTCCTACGAGGCAAGGATGACGGTATTGCCTCTCACATACTCTAACATGTTGTCAGGAGAGGGCAGTATCCTGGGAAAAGTAGGAGCTCAGAGAAAGTGAGGAAGCTCCTCAATAGATGGGCTGACAGTGACTACACGGTGACCACAATAATGGACTTGAGACCAGTGCAGGCTGTGAGAATGGCACAGGATAGAGCCAGGTCAGATCTGGTGTTCAGAGGGGCATCAGGAGAAGTAGTTGATGACGGATCCTAACAAGGACTGTTTGTCCATTTAAAAGGAATTGATTACTCATTTCTTTCCTCATTTTTCTTAGGTCTTTGGTTCTCTAGCTTTCAATTTTTGAGAGTTATTAGACATTATCCTATGTATGGCGATGCAGGAAGAAGTTCAGGCTGCTTTGAAGGAAATAGCAAAAAAATAAGGCCCCAGGAATAGATGGTATAGCAATTGACATATTTCAGCTAACAGATGCTGCCCTGGATGTGCTCACCAAGTTGTGCCAAGAAATCTGGAGAA